ACCACACACAAACAGGATTTTATAAAAAAGGTTTCTGGAAGTTCTCAATTATCAAGGTACATCAGTGCTTGACTTTATTTCCTAATCCAATCAGTATCTTGAGGGAAATTAAATGTTCTTGAAGGAAATTAAACATTTATGGTCTTACCTCTCTTGTATGTTCCCCCACATTCTCAGTTATATGGAAGCCCATTTCTGCCATCAGGAAAAAAAAACTGAGGAAACACATGAATGAAAAATTACATGAAATTAAATGTGAAGTGTTTTTTAATTCACTCATGACTTTTAATCATGACTAACTTTTCATCATTCAGGTAAAGAAGTAAAAAAAAAATTTTAAAAACTTTTTTGCCCTTTTTTTCTTCTTCTGGCAGAAATGGGCTTCCATATGAAGCCCTGTTATTAGCAGACATTTACAGTCAAAAATCACTGCAGACACTGTCTTTAAAGTCAAAATTTGCTTTAATTTCATATTTTAAAAAATCTATAGATTTATATGTTATGCCTGGGAGCTTCAGTTTCAATTCTGTTGCACCGTTTATCCAGTTCTCCTACCTTCAGCACAGCCTTCCTGAGGCATTGTGTTGACTTAGACATTTCAAACATGGTTTACCATTTAATTATTCTGACACACATCTGAGCCAAAATCCAGCAGAGCTGACCCGATGTCTATATTATGGCTGACCCCATGTGACTAGTGGTCCTTTGCATAAAATAAACATAATGTGCAAGGGTTACAGGGATTACTTTACCAGATGCTTAGATATCTGGCTTTCAAAACTCTTTTGGAAAACAAAATCCCCCACCTCCAGTAAATTTTGCTGTCACCTTTTTCACTAGTTGTAGCTGTTGGATCCCAGCTCCGATCAGATTGCTTACTCATGTGTGTCAATTATAGGCTGCTGTAGATTTAAAGGAGAACGCCAATAACAGTTTATTTACAGGGCAACTGAGCATCATAAAGACAGATATAGCCCCGTGTTCCCAAGTTATTGCTATTTATTGTTTACATAAAAAAACATTCAGATTATGACAGAGCACGCCACAAGTCTTTGTCCTGCAGTAAACACCAGGAGTGTGCATTCAAGGAAAAAGAAAAAAATCTGATCAAGATGCTGACAGCTCACCCTTGGTTTTAAATTAATGACCTTCCATATTGACAAAGCGGAAACATGAGAGCACACCGCAGTCCGCTGATATGCAAAGTGATTTTGGACGAACACAATACCGACCTCAAGTCATCACACGGAGCCACAACAGAGCTCTGTGACTTTCTAACAGTGTCTAGTCTGTTCTTTTGTAAACATAAACAAAGCTAAACAAAACAGAGAACACACACAGAAAACATATTTTGTTACCCAGTGCAGCTGGATTTGATCACCGGGCAATCAAAGTAAAACAAACTATCAGATCGAGTGTTCAAAGTAACACTGGCCTGCAGGGGGCCCTTCCTGAGCCTACTGAGAGACAGATTTCAGGCGAAACCCCCCCTAAAAAAAACCCACACACAATAAAAGAAGCTGCAGTAAAAAATGACCTTCTGGCTCCTAAAGGGATTTTCGTCTGTAATCATTGTCACTTTCACTTAAACGTGGTGAAGATCAAATGTGGTTTAACAGCACCAAGACCCCCTCTCATTTAATAAGAATCTCATCACTACGTATGTTGTGCTGCAGCTGGGGCACCCTGCTGACTGCTCTCACATAAGCTGGACTGGAGGAAAGTGAGTGATTGCTGGAGATCACATTTATTTAATACACACTTCCAACAGGCTTTCCTGTTTACCCCATTATCATTATGTGTAATTACACCATACCTTCAGACTCTCAAAACAACCACCGTTTGCTGGCCTAAACAAGGGAACTGTTTACCCCATATCATTGTAAAAATCCTACAGTTGACATGTTTCATGATATTTAGAGCTTCGTCGTTGTGTGTCACACTCATCTGCTGTTATTGAATATGAGTGTGTCCTATCTGCAGTGAATTCACTTTTCAAGTCCCACTCCACTCAAAAAATTCGTTTTTCACTCCGATGTCTGAATGATGTACAGAAGGATTATTTTCATGTTCGTTTAGCAAAGGGGGAACGTTATATCTGACTGTAACCTGTGCACGCAGGAGCAGGTTTTGTGGTAGGAGACGTTTTGTGTTCAGCAGTTAAACCTTCAGAGTCTGGATTTTTAAATGATGAAGAAGGTGCTTTCAACTAGTTAATTAAACTTTTTTTTTATAAAAACCATATCAGCCATAAATTATTATTCAAAGCAGGGTGTGTTTATATGTCTTGAAATATATCTGGAGGTGATCTTTATGTTGTTAATAAAAAATATTATATATTTTTTTACAAGATGGAGAGGGATCAAAATGATTCTGATATTAATAAATTCAGTTTGGACTCGGCTGAAATGCAATGACCTGGGCACACGCTGTATTTTTTAATAAAAAAATCATCTCAGTGCATTTAATTATTGTGATTAAAATGTTTTTAACTTGTGCCTTCAAAATATTTAAAAAATCTAAACGTCTATGCAGCACATTTAAAATACAAAATATGAAAAGCTGAAAAAGATAAAACACATAGCAAGACACACTTTGTTTCCTTATTAACCCCTTTACATTTTACTGTGCTCTGAACTTGTAGGGTTTCAAAGATTTCCTACACAATAAGACTAAATTCACTTTTAACTTATCTTCCCAATCTTTATTTTTCCTTCCCAAGAATATTGGCTACACAGAATATCACATTCATGTTTGTATTTGAACATTTTCACAAAATTGTTTAAACAATGATGATGTGATCTCGGCACAAAAATCAGAACAGGGAGGCTTTATGAGGGCATGTTAGGAGCTTGGAAATACAACAAGCTCTCACTCTGCCTCTCTCTCTATGGGCAAGGAAGTGGGAGACTACTCTCAGTGTCAACAGTGTGGCCATTAAAATGTCTAAAGATAAGAAAATTAAGTGTGTTGCAGCTCTGTCAGATCAGTCACACTGTCCAGAATCAGGCATCAGTGCTCCTCCTCTGTCTCTGTACCGATGTGACCTTAACAAGGAGATGCACATCACTCATTGAGCACACTCTTTTCATTAACTCATTAAGTATTACATTTGTATTGCTGCATTTGATGTCTTGCTATTGATCCAAGTACAAATTTACAAATAAAATTCTATACCACCAGGGGGAGTAACACACCTTGACTTTCTAGAATAAAATGCATACAGTTTTAATGGTATATTGGCGTTGCATCAGGATCTTGAAGTGGACGAAAGTGCTTCAATAAAGTGTGGCGTACAAGCTGATTATCAGGATGAATGAGAAATGGCTTTCCGGCCTGGAACAGAATTCCCTTTTTCTTGCTGCCACCTACTGGCAAGACAAGGGGGTTGTAGAATGACATGCATATATTTTTATTCTAACAAACAAACACCATATTTATAATACACTGATGTTGTTGTTGTTTGTTATTGTTGCTTTGGATATCAGTGATAACCACTCAGTAGTCAGTAGAGTCAGAAACACTAAAACAAAACAAACAAAAACATTTTAAAAAAGTAAAAGATTGGGCAGGATTTCCTCAATTCCAAAATAAAAAAGTTGATTTATCCCAGATACAGTGCTGTACAACTTCTCAGTGTATTTACTCACATTGCTGATGGCCACGCTCTGAGTAAAACAGTTAGCTGTGTATCTGTGTTTTTATTTTATCTTTTTGTGCAGCACTTTGGAAACCTTGTGTTTGTTAAAATTGTGCTATATAAATAAAGTGGATTGGATTGGATTGGATCCACAGCTGAATTGTGACACCATATCACAGATTAGGTTATCTTTAAAGTCCCTTACACCAACAATGAATTGCAGAAAATTAATTGCTGACACTAAACACCAGTACAGTCAGAAATGTAGGCCTGCAATTAACAATATTTTTTCAATATTTTTATCAATTTAGTCCTTTGGTCCATAGAAAATATCCCCAAAGCACAAGGTGACATTTTCAAATTCCTCTTTCAAAAGAGAAACAAATATGAAAAAGAGATTAATGGAGCAGCAAAGAAACGTACAACCTAATAAAATTCACCAATGTTTTCTGTGATGATCTGGGACATTTTTGGCTTTAGGTTTCAGTATAAAGAATGAGAAGAAACTGGCCTTTTCATTTGTCGGGAACAAAGTTGTAGAACAAACTAGAGGATGTTAAACTTTGTTAAACATACCCAAAAGAGTAGGCTACAACATTAGACACCAACCCCACAACCTCAGATAATCTTATTCTGGTTATCAGATTATGACTTGGCAGAGTATGAATATGACAGTCTATATGGAGGAAATGAGACATCTTGTGAGAGGAGGCAGGCGTACCTTACATATTCTCACACCCCCCGAATAAAACAATCAGGACTTTACATGATTCCTTTCTGGGAGGCGTTGGAAACATATCCAGAGCTCCACTTCTGTGAATTTTAGGTTTAAGACAAATAGCCTCTAGGCTCAGTGCTGTTGCTACCGGCTTTAAATGACACAAAGCTGATCTGGAGGTAGGTGTGTAATGCTGAAACCAACCTAAAGGCTGTCCCACAACACACTACAGAGTAATGTGTTCCACTGTGTGCATGGAGAAATATTCATTCATACACCTGCTAAAGAAAACTATGGTAATGTCACATTGTTGCTATATTACAATATATACTAAATATAAATAATTATATGCTCTATTACATTTAAAATTTCCTATTTTTTGAGACAATGCATTTATTTATTTTTGTATAAAAAAAGATGAGCTGACTCTTACCGCACGTGAATCCTCTTAACTCCTTTTAAATCTTTAACTCCATGAATTGTTCATTGTTCCTATGTTGTTTAGTGTGTTTTTATGCTTGGGACAAATAATTAATGAGTAATATTTTAAACTCAAATGTGCGCTTTAACTATTACTGCTGTCAACACTCTTTACTTATGTTTCTCCAGGCCAACCTGAGCCCAGTAGTGCCGGGGGCCGACACTAGAGGCATTTTCTGCTGCTCGCTCGCTCGTTGTGTTGTTTTGGTTAGCTGGATGTTAGCCCATGCTTTCTGCTGTAGCCGGTTGTAACGGTGATGGCTCTCCCATAAAGCGGGGGGAGCGGGGCTGTGCTTTCTGACTCAACGCCGAGTGAAGTGCCGTGGTCATGGCTGGGGTTTTCGACATCGATCTGGATCAACCGGATGAGAATGTGTCTGACGACGAACTTGAGGACGGGGTGAGTTTACGTTAACGTTCAGGCTAATAGCGACGCTGTTAGCTGGCACCTAGCAGCTTTTAGGCCTGCGCTGCTAACCCCTGTATCCGTTATCGGACATGTCCTCGTCCACCCCTTTCCCGCGGAAACTGACATTACCCCGTAAAACAGTCACTAACTTACATACGTATTTAAACACATTTTCATTGCTTTTAATACATTTAAATTTTCGACCGAGCACAATTTCAGTTTCACCACCGACACCGGACAAACCCATCCGTAGCATCCAAGCAGTGTTGCCGTACAGGTTGGTGTCCCCCGGCTCACTGTAATAAGTTGGCGTGGCCACTGCTTAACATTTTTGGGGTGAGCAGACAGTGAAGCCACCATGTCGATAAAAATGGAAAAAGACCTGAGGAAACAGCCATAATGAAAGCTGGATGGAAACGCAAAATAAGTTGCGTACGCATGTCACCGGTTGTAGTTTATGTCCGATAACGGAGCTACAGATTAAGCGGTTTTGCGCTCTGCTTCGGCATTCGTCTGTTGTAGAGATGTACAGTACTTTAGTTACACCAATGCCACATATATATGGGTTGACAACTACTCTGACAATGTTAATAAGTGAGATATAAACGAACTCCGCTGAAACGACCAACAACCAGCTGAAATCCTAGCAATGCTAGCGGGACTGTAGCTAAAAGGACCAAACTAGCTCTGCCACCACTCACCTCACTTTAAGGTAGCAGTTAGTATAATGTATTAGACACTAACGCTACTTAACGTTAAGTTATTTGTTTATTAGCTGTTATTTACAAACATGGGCTTATTTAAATAATGTTGATAAGTTAACGATAAAGGAGAAAGTGTCCACTCAGCTAGCTTGGTAATTAGTTAGCCGTAACGTTACCTGTTAACTTTTATTTTATTTATTTATCCTTTATTTTACCGGGAGGACCCGCTGAGGCCGGGCCAGGGTTGCCCTGCGACAGCTCAAGAACAGGATCAAATGTTCACATAAAATTAAAATACAACATTTACATATACATTTTACATATGCATAAGTCAATACCCCGACCCCGAAATGGGATCAATGTTCTGTCTTGAGAATGTCATTTATTTATATATATATATATATATATATATATATATTATCCTACTTAGTTTTACTGGCATTCAACACCAGTTTTGGACTAGCCAAAGCTCGTTGGATTGAGTTTAAAGCAGCCTGTAAATGTAAGAGAGCTTGTTTACTTAACTTAAACCAGATTAACAATTAGTGAAGCTGTACATGAACGGCGCATGTGACTGTGTACACGGTCCTTGCACAGGGTTGTGCTCTTTTTGTAGATGCTCATTTGTTGGGATGGTATTTTAGGGTTATTTATTTAAAAAGGGACAATGCACATTGATTAATAAAACATGACAATCATAGTCCATTATGCAAATGTGCCAGATTTATCCATACAGGCTCATTTTCATCTGCAGTCCCTGGCAGGTTGATAGCATATATTTATATTTATATTTAGATGTTCTTTTTTGTTGTATTATGCTTTTCAGATGATTGTTGGAGCATGTGAGGCAGGACAAATTCACATGTGAAGTGTTATCTTAACTAACGTTTGGCTAAAATATTTCCCTGGGAAATAAACTCATTAACACTAATAGTACAAACAATGTCCCAAACATAATGTAGCTATAAATAAGGTCATGTTAGCTGGTAACTATTGCTCTCCTATATGATGAGATTTTCTGCTCTGTTCTTCCTCTTGTTTTCAGGACCAGCTCAATGAATACATGGAGCAGTGCAGTGGTTTTGAATTGTGAGTATAAGCAAAACTAATTCACGGGGGTCCTGACAGGGGCAACAAAATCATACTTTTTTATTTGCATAACAAAAGCGCTATTGCTCCATTGCATAGTCTGTAGAGCTCTACTGGAAGGATCAACAGCATTCTTTCCAAAGATATTCCCTCATTTGGCATTTTGATGATGGTGGTGGAGCGTGCTGTCTAACACTGCAGTTGAAGGTCTCCCATAGGTGTTCATCTGGGTTGACATCTGTTGAATGTGAAAGTCATAACATGTTCACAGCATTTTTCCCAAACCATTTGGTGTCCTCATTCCCTGTAGAGAAGCATCTGCATTTTTTATTTTTTTTTCTGTGTTTTCCTATAATTTTGTCACCCATCCATATCCTTCAAGTAGTCATTTATATCATATTGGATGAGGCAGACATAATGAAACTGGGGGTCATTGCACTAATGTGGATCTGTTTGAGGGCAATGCACACCCAACTCTCGTAGTCAGCTGTTTATTCCCAACAACAAAACTGTTGTACCACCATCAGCCTCAGCTGAACCATTACCCATGTCTGTGTTAAGGCCCAAACGCTTGTAACTGTCATTGATAATACTGCTGTGTGTCTTGGAAATTGAAAAATAACACAATGTTGAGTGAATTCATTTTTTCTTTATTTTCTTATTTTCTTTATTTTTTTGTTTTGCCAGTAACATGGATGACTGTGAGAAGTTTGAAATTTCAGAGAACAGCGTGAACAAGGGAACAGAGCAGATCAGGCCTGAATGCTTTGAGCTGCTGAAAGTTTTGGGAAAAGGTGGCTATGGAAAGGTGAGGCATTTGATTCTCTGGCATGACAATGTGTATATGAATTCAAGTCTTTCAACACACACCTATGACTTTAACTCCTTCTCCATTTTACCCCTTAAAATGTCACTTGACTTGAAATTTGGAGCCATGTATTGTATATGCAGGTTGGAAATGAAAACAATGAACTAATGGGGGCTAACAGATGTGCAGAGCTGTACAGTTGGGTGTTTAATTTTCAGTGGGCACTGTATATGACCCTTCGTTTACACTGAGGCATTTAGTTTAGGGTTAATAAAAAAAAGGTTGATGAAATGTCTTTAAAAGTGTGGGAAATACCACTTTATCATTTGCTTTCTTGGCTTGGGACCTGCCATTATATTGCCAGTGTGTGTGGGAGGTCATTGCAGATGTCTTGAAAGTTTCTTAAGAAAGTGGCTGTAAATTGAGTTTCACATGCTAGAAAGCTCAGATTTTTTTTTTCATTGTCACTGCTGTTTATCAACAAAGTTTTCAGTCCCCAGAGATAAATTAAAATGTTGTTTGGTTGTGGGAAGGTAAGGAAATCCTACTGAACCTTTTCAATGTAAAACCTGCTGTCCCAGAGCCATCTCCTCCTTTACCCACATCAGCCTAAAAGGGAACTGTAATCTCCTGCAGCCCTCTGTATCTAATTGTAAGATCATCGAGATTAGGAAATAAGTCTTGTGTTTATGGTTTTATTTTGGTATTGCCAACCCGTAGAGAACTGGAAATTTTCTGATGTTCTTTTTTCTAAGCCTGACAAAGAGAGTGCACATCACAGTTATTTTGGAAACACTTTTCTGTTAGTGAGCGGATGCATGACTTATTCTTTCTTGAAGTGGTTTTGGGTATGATGACTAAGAAGTCATTTTCTGCATCTTGGGAATTTCTCAGCATTAAAAGTATAACGTAATTCAATGTTTTTGAAACACAATGTCATTTGTTTTGATATTCTTGTGTAGCTAAGGTATATACTTTATTTTGGCACCGGCTTGAAGTTCATTGGCCTAAAAAAATAAGAGCAAAAAATCTTTCAAGAATTATGCGGTTATACAGATATTGAAAACAAAGACTTTGGCTCCCGCAAAATCAGAGCAGTACATGGTTGCAATTTAGTCAGAATAATATAAGACTAACAGTTATTTTTACGCATAAAACAGTGGCCGTTGTAAATTCATTGCTTAGTCAAATGAACATGCATTATGTACAATAGCAACCTCTGAACTTCATGTCCCAAATCCTTTCTATGAATGTCCCCAGCATGGCAAAGTGTAATTTTTCAAGCCATAGGTGAAACATAGAAGTAAATATTTGGTTTACTTAGCCAAAGGAATATATTGATGCTAGGTTATCTACAGGTCTCAAAATGCATTCGAAAACACAGAACTCAATTTCCTCCAAAACAAGCCTTAAAAAACAAAAAAGACAAATAAAGTCTTGTCTTGCCTGCTGTAGTAATGTTAGTTATAACATTTTTAAATGTAATTTTGCGTTTTAAACTAAAAGTGGGATTTTTGCAATAGTACGTATGCGGGAGGTTGTTCAGTTCTTTTTATACATTCAGTCAGCACCATCATACCTGGAGCAACACAACACTGTCACTACTAGGTCGGCACAATTCATTGAAATATTGTGCAGGCCTAGACATTGCTGCTAGCTCATTGTGAGCTCATTGTCATATAGTGAGGAAGTGTCTTTTGTTTTTTGCAAAAACTTTAATCATTTAATCATCAAATTGAATTAGCTTTATCCAAGTCCAGCTCACATTACTTACATCATCAAGAATTATTGTTATATACTGCAGGGAGGTACTGAAAAATGTGACATAATATGAAATGATTCTAAGCCATATTATGGCTACTGCCTTTCCATCATACTTTCATACTTTGGCTGGTGTGACTGCGAAATGGGTATTAAATTACATTCTATGATATATGAAAAGATCTTAAGTCTTAAATAAAAATTCTGCAGAAATCCTGTGTAAATTATGGATTTGACTTCATATGATGTACGTTTTCACAGGTGTTTCAAGTACGGAAGGTCTCAGGTGCCACCTCTGGGAAGATCTTTGCTATGAAAGTTTTGAAGAAGGTGAGTGAAGATTTCAATATTATTCATCGAGAACTGTCTCACTGATACAAAGAATACCGTAGTTATGCTCATTCTGTCCTCCTATCACCCATTAAAAGTGAGCCTAACCGCCCCCTAGTGTACATACAGAATAGTGTAGTGTAAGAGAAATGGCACCTGCATTATCTAATCCATATGTAAGCAGACACAAGTAACCTACATCTATGGGGAATTAGCACCTTAAATACTCAGCTGACTCTCAAGCCCAGTGCAGCTTAACTGTGTATAGTGTTTCACATGTACTGAATGTCACTGGTTGCCTTTTCTGGTGACATACTGGTGCATTCAGCTATGAAGCCAGAAGCTAAGGGCAGACCACCCAAAATAATGGCAGCAGGCTTTTTCCCATGAAACCTCAGGTCTGCTACTTCTGTTCAGCTTGGCCTCCTCTCTGCAGCTGACACAGGGCTGGTGTCTGACTTTGCTTGAAAAGCCAGCTCATATTCCCCGAAGCTTGAGGTTTTGGTTAATGGCTGCGTTTATTGGCTTAATGAGAATTGACTGCAGCTACCATCCTGGCGCCCTGATTCGTGCTCTGCCAGCCTCTGCAGCTGACGTTGAAGCTTTGACACTAGCTAATGGGGTTAAAGTTATTGACTGAATAGTTTCACACCCTGACTCTCTTTTCTGTCCCTTGTCAGGCCATGATTGTGCGCAATGCAAAAGACACAGCGCACACCAAAGCTGAGAGGAACATTCTGGAGGAGGTGAAGCATCCTTTCATTGTGGACCTCATCTATGCCTTCCAGACAGGGGGAAAGTTGTACCTTATCCTGGAGTATCTGAGCGGTGAGCATGGTGATGCTCAATCAAACATACAGTACAAACCAAGACTGCGTTCCTTTTGCAGGCACAAGCAAATCCGATTTTTTTGCTCATTTCATTTGTGACTCAGATCTGTTTGAACAGTGTGAACAGCACAAATCACATGGAATCTGATATTTTCATATGTGGTCCAAATCAGATACAGGTTTGATTTTTTTGCAATGAGACCTCAGTTTGAACGATAATCTCAGAATTGATGTGACTTTTATGTCACTTTATGTAGATGGATTTATGTTTGTCATGCAGGTCAATTCAGCACTGACCTTTTCACAATGGAATCTGATATTGGCCACATTTTTAAAAATCATGTTCACAGCCGAACAAATAAAATCTGAGCAATGGCAGCAATAAATGTGAATTGAGCAATAAGGCTTGCAGTGCAAATGTGTTCTTTATCTGTCTGAAATTGTGGGTTTTCATTCCCCCTTTGAACACATTTGACTGATACATTTTGTATTTTGACTGCAGGTGGGGAGCTGTTTATGCAACTGGAAAGAGAGGGCATCTTCATGGAAGACACAGCATGGTGAGTTTGTTTGTATGTCACCGGTGCAGCTTTAACCATCTGGCCAATGATAACATTAGCCTTTAGCTGTAAACTAACTTACAGTGTTTCTGGTGATCTATGGGAATTTGTCCTGAGAAATTAAAATAAAGAAAAGAGTTTCTGGAAACAATTCTGTTTCAGGATGTTATGCTTAAACATGTCAAATCAAAATTTGTCCTTCACTCTGTTTTCCACTCACTCTGTTTGTATACATATTTTAAAGGCCACCCCCTGTATATACAATATTTAACCATTTCCAAATGGCGAACGTACAGCAAGTGTTCAAAGTTATTTCTTAGAGGTTTTTCTTTCTTTTTGGTGATTGATGATGTACAGAAGAGTCATGAGTACCAGAAGATGTCTGAACATCAGTCTGATTTATTGTTTCTGTCAGACTAATTCTAGCAATTAAACAAATGGTTCAAGAGACAGACAGCTGCTGCTTTGATTTTGACAGCAGCACACCGATATATTTTAAATGTAGACTTCACATGCAAAACACACCATGAGGATACAGATGTTCAGTAAGGAGATTCGAGGGAATCTTAGGTCTGAAGCATGAAGATATGTGACACTGTTTCTAAGGGTCACTTGGAACAGCGACAGAACCTGCTGCTCTGTTTTATAAACACAGCCTGTAGATGAAAATGGTGATTACATGAACCGAGCTGCTGAACAAATAAGGGTGTGTAGTGTTTCTGGAATAACCTAAACGACATTGACATAAAACCTTAACTGCAGATAAGGAGGAGGAGCAGTGGGGTGTGTAAGACATTTTGTTGGTAGAACATTTATATATGCACATATTCAGTGATATGTAATTGGGAAAGAGTGAGATCGATATCAGTAAAGTTTGCTCAATATCTGTGTTGACAGCTTCTACCTGGCTGAGATCTCAATGGCGCTTGGTCACCTGCACCAGAAAGGCATCATCTATAGAGACCTGAAGCCTGAGAACATCATGCTCAACAACAACGGTACACGAGTCTTAACTGTCCATCACAAAAGGCTGATTAGAAAAACTTGAATTCTTTCTCCATGTAATCTGATCTGTAATCTGTATATTTTTTGAAGTGTAGTTTATATTGGGTTCTTACTTTTGCTCTGTTGCCTTCTAGGACATGTGAAGTTGACAGACTTTGGCCTATGCAAAGAGTCCATCCATGACGGAACAGTCACCCACACCTTCTGTGGCACTATTGAATACATGTATGTCACACAATCATCATGCTGATTAATTCAGATTTTGCAGACATCTCCACGTCCAGTCACATTTCCTATTTCATACACAGGGTAGTGTATATGCTGTACCTTGGTCATTCCCTTCTCCTTTCTCAGGGCTCCAGAGATCCTAATGAGGAGTGGACATAACCGAGCAGTGGACTGGTGGAGTTTGGGAGCTCTCATGTATGACATGCTGACGGGAGCAGTAAGTGTACACCAGTCGATCCAATAGTAGCATTGCTAAAGAAAGTCAAACTGTTTATGACAGTGCTGCAGGCATTAAAAGGCAAAGTAAGGCAGGAAGCACTGGCTACTGTTGCTAACTGTTTTTTCTTTCCTTCTACTATTTCATAGCCTCCATTCACTGGTGAAAACAGAAAGAAGACAATTGACAAAATCCTGAAATGCAAACTCAGCCTTCCACCTTACCTCACACAAGAAGCCAGGGACCTCCTGAAAAAGGTGAGCTGTAAAAGCCTTCCTTCTGCCTTGTGCTTCCCTGGATGTGTTGTCTGCTGACATTTGGGAGTGGCAGCAGAATAAGTCTCCAAACGTTCTCTTCCAGCTGCTGAAACGAAATGCCTCATTGCGACTCGGGGCTGGACCAGGAGATGCCGCTGAGGTCCAGGTGAATACATGAATTGAAAGCAGAGTCACAAATGCATGCATGCATGCAGTGTGTTAACATATTGAATTAGGACTTAATACAATAACTCAGAAAAGGAGAATGCTTCTTGGAAAATCTGGTGAAAATGAAATGTAATTTTATTTCCAAGGCCCACCCATTCTTTCGGCATATAAATTGGGATGACCTCCTCGCTCGCAAAGTAGAGCCCCCATTTAAACCTTTCCTGGTGAGTTTGTCTTGTTTTTTTTTTTTTGCAGCAACGTCCTCTAGTGACTATTCCTTGCAAGATGATTAACTGACCCACTTCTTTTGGCAGCAATCGGCTGATGACGTCAGCCAGTTCGACTCCAAATTCACCAGCCAGACTCCAGTGGACAGCCCTGATGACTCCACGCTTAGCGAAAGTGCCAATCAAGTCTTCCTGGTAACTAGTGCCATACCTGCCAGCAACAGAGTTTTGAGAATTTAACAAGTCATTTAAAGAATAATCCATGATAAAAACATGCCAAAGTAAGGCATGACACAAAGGCCAATAATAGATCATTTTGTCTACAATGGTGTCACTTACTGAAGATAAACATTTTTGTTTGTTTGTTTTGGACTGGTATTTTATCTCTTACTGTTTGTTGGTCTTATGTTTGTCAGTCTTGGAGTGAATGTAACTTTATGAGAGTAGCCACTGCCTAGTGCACCTGGGGGAGTGATATGTATATCGAAGTAGTAAAAGTGATGAGGCATTAATGTCAGTTATAAGAACATAGCCTGGAGCCAATCAGAATTGAGAATTTTCTTTGAACAAGTGTCATTTAATTAATAATAACTAACCATTTGTTCACTGAGGGATTTAGCACTTGCATTAAGAATTCATTTTGAGTAATACTCTTTTAATATTGAAATAAACTTAACTTAGAGTGCAGCATAGACACACAATGTAAACAAACATACAAACAGAGACCAGCTCTGGACATAATGTTTTTTCTTTTCTTTTCAACAAGTAGGTCTTACGAGAATCAGTTAATGCATCCCATCTGGTTTAGTCTTGTTGGTTTTCCTGGAAGCTTCACTCACTGTTCCACCACATTGCATGATATGGTTTACTCAGCAGTTCATTGCTCATCATCAGCTGTGGGTTGTTTTTGGAAAGATGGTCTTTGAAGAGGTGGACTCAGATCTCTCTTTTTCCTTTTTTTTGTCCCTCACCCCTTCCCCAGGGTTTCACATATGTAGCCCCATCTGTGCTTGAAAACGTCAAAGAGAAGTTCTCTTTCGAACCAAAGGTCCGCTCACCGCGGAAGTTCCCTGGAAGCCCAAGAACACCTGTGAGGTAATAGCAAGTGTTGTTTTTCTCTCTGGTTTCATTGAATTTTACAGATTTTCCACACAGCAAGTCTTTTCCCACATCGATTACTCATTTGCTGACCTTGTAAATGTAGCCAGCTTGACCTGAATAAAGCCATTATTAGAAGGGTGAATAAAAGGCATAATACAAATCCTTTCAGGGCTCAAAAATAGTTCTTCATTATGGGTTTAGATGGGTTTCAGCTGTGTAAAACTTGAACTTGAACTGAATTTACAGGAATTTGAGATCAAAGGAGAAGGAAATTAATGAACTTGCGTCTGGATATCTATCTGCTGACTATTTGAACAATTGTGTCTGTTGAAATCATTCCTCAATCAAAACAACAGCATTCACACCTGTCCTCTGTAGGATTTAGAGTTATTAGCCTCCAACTGTACCTGTGTGACACATAACTACCCATAAATAAGAACTGGTGATTTACAGACAGTAGCTCAGAGGAATAATCTTTCTCAATCTTTCTCTTCCACAGTCCGGTAAAGTTTGTAGCAGGGGACTGTTGGCCCCGGGGACCCACGCTGACCCATCCATCCCTGCTGTCTCCCAGCAGCTCTGTGGATCAGCCCATGGAGGTGTCTACAGCAGAGCAGATGGACACGGGCAGCAGCAGCACCTCCGAAGCCTCCGCGCCACTTCCCATCAGGCATCCTTCAGGCATCAATGCAGGGCCCTACAAAAAGCAGGCCTACCCCATGAACTCCAAGCGGCCAGAACATCTACGAATGAACCTATGACGCTTGGCTCGCCTCCAAACATTAGGACTCTTTCAATTCCTCCTCCTCTTCCCTTTTTATTGTTTTCTTTCAAAGAGACTTGTAGAATCTTTTTTTAATTGACTGACACTGTCAATGCTGATCACCAGCTCTTCCAGCAGCGCCTTCCCTCCTCTACCCCCTCCTCAGCCTGATGCAGATAATCAGCAGTTACAGTACATTAGATATGTGGTCAGTCGGGGGACTGACCACATGACCACTGAACTGATGAGAGGTGGTTTCGGTGCACTCAACTGGCATTATCATATGATTTACTGGTGCTCTTTTATCGTCAAGTCTGGACAATGTTACTTTTAGTGTTTACAACTAGTGAGAGAGTCTGGTTGCAAGGGGCAGTAATTTCTCCCTCAGTATGCCAGGCTTCTTTTGATTGTTTGTTTATTGATCATCTTGTGATGTGTGAAGAACTTGCAGGTTACACTGTCAGTAGGTACAATTATTGGATAACAAGCTCCACAATGAACAGACAGTATCCATTTTTTATGTTTTAGGAAAACAATCACATTGCCTTTGTCACTGGAGCGTGTGGTCAGGAGTAGGTGGAGCACGACTTATGGAAAATCAGCTATAAAAAGATAGAAGTGAAATTTTAGCTGAAGGCATCACTTCCACCACAATCAATACCAAATGCTGGCACTGCTTCACTTGTCCAACTGGAATGCTTTGTCTAGGTCTGTCCAGAAGCACTGTTCAGTTTCTTTTTGAATGTAAACGGACTCTAAATGCCTTTTTGTGTGTCACTTCAATCTCCTGTGCTTAGCTCTAATGACCCCTACAGCATTACCTTTAATTCATCTACTCATGCAGCCCAATTTCTTGTGTTGTTGGTGGAGAACAACAAACATTTTGTCCCTAAATATCCTCAGCCAGATCGATATCTTATGTGCTTGGATGGTTTACGTATGCTTTTTGTGCATTTACAGTAACAGGGCTATCAGTGGTAGGGGGGGATAAAGTCAGACTTGATGTGAGTGGACCATCTACTAACTCCTGTTTGAGCTGACATGTATGATTGGTTTTATTTGTGAAGCTGCTATATGAGCCTCTGGAGTCAAGCCATTCAAAACTTCTCACCATAAAACTGACCATGAAATTGGATGCAGATTCCCATGATGCTAACTGAAACTTGAATGAATGAAAATTTGATGTGTCTTGTTATCCAAATACTGAGTGTTTAATGAATTGACCAAAAGGACTGTTTCAATGAACCAAATAATTATTGCTGGTAAACAAACAAACCATGGACAACGACCATGGAGTGTCGCAGATTTTTGTAACGTTTCAAGGTTCAAAGGTCGTATTTTAGATCATACTGGCTTTGTTCTCCACACTGATGCTCACAGAGCCATTTTAATTTGTTTATTATTTTTCTGTAAGTTATTTAGCAATTGTTTAACAGCTTAGATAGATTTTTCTTCTCCTACCATTCCGGTACAACAATTGTGTTTAAGACCAGTCACTCCACTTTTTACGCCACTTACTTTCTTTGTTCATTTGTTACAGTATTTATTTCAAGTGCCATTGTGTTTCCACTGCATTGTTCGCACTATGCAAACTATGTATTTATTATATAGTATTATTTAGATAAGGCAGCAGAATGTGTAATCATTTGATTTGGAATTCTTGTCAGAGACTTATTTTGTCATAATAAGCATGTACAGTAAGATTTTATTTCCCCAGAATATGTCTTACAGCAACCTCAGATGCAGCTTTTTTTTTATTCCAAAATTGAGGACAGTAATCTAACCTTACAGCATTTATTGTGTGGCATAGAATCATATTTGAGGGGGATTTTCACAAAACATTTTGATATCTTAGACTTTCCTTGCTGAAAACTTGAACTTCAGTTTCTTTTTGCAGTGCTTAAAGCAAGGGCAGTTATTGTGGAAAGAAACTGATGCAACAACCAATGGGAATGGCATTGTGCCTTTGCTGACAGAGTACAGAGTGTATGCATAGTATGCTGAACATTGTAATTGTGTGTAGATAAGGCTGGGATTGATACATAAGGTTCACTTCCTGTTACTTCTCTAAAGGCTGTCAATTTCTTTATTTCACCAATTCATTGCGATATGATCCGGCTCTCTGTTCTGAGAGGGGTTGGGAAACTAAAGAGGATTAATTTGGTTTCTGTTCAGGTATGCTTGAAGTATCCTTCACACTGAGATGGTTGAGAGCAGCCATCTTGTTAAGCTTACTTCAGGTAGGAAACACCTTCTGTGAGTAGAACTGGTGTTTAAATCCCTGGTGGGCATTGAATAACATTATTTCTGTTTGCTTCATCACCCCTAGATCTGCCCCCTGCGATGGGGAATGTTCATATGTATCATGTACATAATGAAGTCAAAATAAAGAAATAATGGATCTTGGTTTTGAGCAGTGGCTGTGTTACAGAATGGATTGCACAAAGCATGGGTGAGGTGAGTGGGTTGCAGTAACAGCGCTAGATGCCACTAAATCCTATACACTGGTCCTTTAAATGCTTAGCTGTTCGGCAAATGAGTGACTCATTTTGCAACATAAAACAAGTCACAGATATCATTCAAATGTAGATCTTTATTCAGATTAGATCTGGATCTCAATGGGTAAAAACAACACAGTGAAATGATTTTCATACATAATAAAATAGATGTTTCTCCAACTCTTTGGTTTATACAAAAGAATGAGGTTGCATCACCTCTATAGAAAAATAATTTATGTGTAAATCGATCTCACAAGCTCAGTTGCATCCTTTTTATCAGTCGTGTAAAAAAAGCCACTGAAAGCAGAAGGCAAACTGTTCATTTACCCATCAAATAAACGGATTCTTTAGCCTGCCATGTCCATCTTCAGTGCCTGGATGCAGGCTGGCAAAGGTCTTGTCATTCCTGTGTACTGAGCTTCCTAAAAGCCTTTGCAGTATGCAAGTTGTCAGCCCTCCAATCTCATATTTATTTCAACTCACTCAAGCTCAAAGATACATCTGAAGCAGAATTCAGTAAGCACTCCTGAGCAGAGGTATGCAGCTGCTTACCTCTACACTTTTATTGTTACAAATCAGACAAGATGCTTCCACAAATTTAGAAACACTGGATAAGAAAGGTTTCACGTTTTGCATGTTTGTCCAACCATATAAGGAAAAACCTGTTTAAAATACTTTATATATTTCTCTGATGTCCCCATATTTACAAGTAGAAGAAACAGTGGAAGTAGACCAATTTGCTGCCCCACAAGGAAAGTTAAAGGTGAATAAAAGCAACACAACACGAGAGGAAACAACTTAAAATAGAAAAATCATAAATCATAATAACATAATCAACTTTCTGTTGTCTGTGAGGGTACCATGTTGGGATGTACTGGTAAATAAGCCAGAAACATGCCTATCGTGGGTGCAAGTGTGTCCTTACTGACCTTGGCCCGCAGGGGGCACAGCCCTTAGCTGATTCAGGAAACAGTGTGTGCAACATTACTTTTCAGTGGGGTCTGAGAGCCACAGAAAAGTCACATATTAAATACAAGCTAATATCCATGTCCCACACCCAAAAACTCCCCACCTGTGCCTTTATCGATCAATAAATCTGCAGGTGTGGAGATGTGGCTCCATCCCTCCATTTGTAGATCTTCTCTGTGATCACGGTGCGGCAGAGAGGGCAGCTCTTCTCTCGGTTGAACCACAGAGCAATGCATTCATCACAGAATATGTGCTGCAGAAAAACAACAGTATGTCATGTCCTGCCTCATAAATGACTAGATCTACATAACTTAAACATACTTCAGTTCATCTCTTACAGGAAAACATAAGGGGTCTGATAAGATGAATACAATAACAAAAGAAAAACATGGTTTATTATGATAGTAGCAAATAGGACTGGTTGTGAAGAGAGAGAAAAAGGCATGTGAAAATGTCTGTACATTTTCATAATATTACAGGTTTTCTCTCTTGCTTCTGCTCCTTGAATATAATAAAAAACTGTAATAAGGTTTTATAACATCATTGAAGAGGAGGGATGTGTGCAACAGATGCCCGAAGGATCTTAATCTGCCCACAGCCAGAGCTTATCAATAATTTAAATTAAATCTACTACCAGCTACAGTGATAACAAAACAAAGCTGACCAATGGTGTGGTAATGACCACGCAGTGCACACTTCTGTGGTTTTACCTGACAGAGTAGAGCCCGAGGCTCCCTGTACTCTCCCTGACAGATGGGGCAGACATCTCCAGCCTCGCTGCACTGACTCCTAGTGGCTGCTGAGCCTGTATGCTGAGAAACCAATGGGAAAAACAAGACATCTCAACACAGCTGGTTACTGACTGGACATTTACTATTTAACAAAAGAAGTTGTTTACTACTGACCTCGCCCTTTAAAAATATCCTCACAGTTTTCATTAAAGACGTCCACTGCCCGTACAATCCTAAAAGCTAAAAGAGAAGAAAAAAATTAATTAAAGAAAGACTTCCACTTTTTATATTTCAGCATAAATACAATACAGATCTATTGCTGGTTACTCTGACTGATCACACCTTCAGTATGAGGTAGACCAAAGCCAGCAAGACCCCCAGTGTGAGTCCAGGGGTGCCGTCAGACTCCTGGTAGATGACCAGGTAGCGGAACCACAGTGAAACAGGAGCTAAGCCCTGGTGGACCTGACCCAGCTCTTCAGTCAGCATCAGCCACCGCCCCTGGAGATATAGACAAACACATTAAAAACTACTAAAAAAACTACATGCACCATTAGAGTGAGATGTTCTTCTAGAAATCCACCAGTCTCACCTGGGTTCTGTAGGTCACCAGTGAAGATGGCAGCAGCAGAATAAGGCACTTAATCCCCATGAAGAGGAACTTTATTATGAAGTTGGTGATGCCGACAGCCCATAGAACCTCCCAGAAACCCAGAGGCTCAATGGCTGGACTGAGGAAGATGAGGCTGGAAGAAGGTTTACATTCAGGTTAAATGGTGGCATGTTCATTTTAGCGCTGCCCACTGCATTCTAGGTTGAGTTAGTTTACTAGACTGCAGTACAGGTGGACAGTATAAACATACACTGGTCAATATGCCATTATATAGATTTCATTATGCCGTTTGTACCAGTAAAGAATGCTATTTGATGTTTTAAGTCATGAGCTGTCAAGTCTCTCAGAGTATAGAGCCATTACCACAGTGTATTCTGGTTGCTTACTCCAGAGAGACTAACTGAGATTATATTCCAAGAACAGGCCATTGCTTAAAGGAAACAGCCACACAATCTTGTTGTTCAGGGCAACCAATGTGAGACAATGCATTCACTCTTACCAATGGTAAAGTGTCTCAGTAAGAAAGGTGTAGTAAAGCAGGAGGGTGGAGGAGATCAGGAACACTAGCAGCCATACACACTGCAGCTTTGAGTGACGATCCTGAGGACGCACATGGGCAAATACACAGTTGAGGAATGTATCAGCAATGAAATTCATACGGAATCAACAATGTGTTTTTCTGTTCTTGACTTACCTGGAGAAAGACTTGAGTTTGAATGCTTTTATTCACATATAGAAAAGTTGTGAAGAGGCCAACCCCAACTGCTAGACCTTGTAATTAAAGAGAAAGAGTATGATAATATGTCTCTAGTTCACACCTGCAATAACGGTGTTTGCTTAACTCGTACTCACCAAGAGCATGTTGGATGACCAGTTTAGCACACAGTATGATGAGGAAAGGAAGGCTCTTCTGGAGCCAGCGGAAGAGACAGCGAAGCTCAGACAAGGAAGTGCTGGGCTCTCCAGAGTCCAGATCAGAGTCAGGCGGGTCAAGCTCAGGCTCCGAATTCGAGTGGTGCGGTATCCGATTTTGTCCTTGTGACTGAGAATGGGAGTGGCTGTGGGAGTTGACTCTGCACCTCCTGGATGAGGCACCTCCACTGGACTCCCCAGCCCCACTGGTCATGGATACCCGCACCTCATTGTTCTCAGGGCTGGCAGCAGCAGCAGCAGCAGCAGCACCAGGGGCTGGTGTCCTGGTAAGAAGCTCTGGTTGCAGAGTTAGGGATAAACCATTTCCTGCATGGGCGCCCCGCTCACTTGAATTAGGCTGCATTACAGTAGGAGACTCCCTCAGTTTCAGTGCTCTTCTGGAATCACTCCTTTGACATAAGAGAAAAAAACCTCTGTAGTCACAATGTTTCCAGCATCAAATCTCAACAAATACAAATTGCTGTCAGTTATAGAAGCTGTGCAGAACTACAGCAGCCAGTATTTTGTGGTTCAATTTCAGTTAAGTAACGTTACCAGACTTAAATTATTAGGTTAGCTTAAGTTTTGTTAGCTAACTCAAACCGATTCGCTGCATTCAGTCGACTCACCCAGCCAGGCCATGAATGTGTTTGGAAACTCCAGTAATTCACGGTAATTAACTACACATCGGTTGCATCAGTCATTTTCAAACAATAAACCCGACAATGAGTGACAGACCGATAACAAGAAGTTGACCCCGTTTCCTACTCAGCGAACTGGGCTTCCGTCGTTAGCATTAGCAGCTAACAGATGTTTTCTATCAGGCCAGACTAGCGGCTGTAAAAGCTCACGCTCACCTGTCATTCTGCACCCGGAGTTTCATGGTAAGCTCTGGGTCCCCATCTAATACAATGTCCAGGTCGCCAAACGAAACAAAAGCAAAAGTAAACCTAAAACAAAACTAAGCCTTTATCTTTCAGGCTAAGCCATAAGCTGGTCGTTCAGACATCTTGACGTTGTTTACGACAGCAGACGTCGCAAACTTCTTCTGTTGCAGTTTTACGGCGTGTCGGATGTAAAATGCTGCAATGGCTCCACCTATTGGAATAATTTTAAATAACATGCAACAGATTATGGCAATTAAGAAAAATGAATACAGTTACACTGATATATATGTTTCTGTTGACTGCAGTAATTACTAATACTGTTTTATTTCTATATTTTACTCCATAATAATGTTATTAATATCATTATTATTATATAATTTCTATTATTAGTCATTTAGCTCATAGTGAGGACCACCACTGATATTCTCTTAATCATTACACACATTCTCATGTTCTTTTTTTCTTCCCCACTCTCTTTAATAATATTGAAAAATCCCCTCTACATGTTTTACCATTTCTATTATCCCATCTTTTTCTTTCTCTTCCATCATGGCACAGTGCACTGCAGTAAACTGAGTTACCATGTGTGATCATTGAATACTAATGTATGACAGCATCAGTTATATCTGTTACTGCTTGACCTCTACAAAGGCTTCACATCATATGAAAGGTCAAGAGTTTGTTATTGAACCAGAGGATGCAAGGTCACATACCCTCTAAGGAAATGCCAGTGTTGTTGCTGTCTGTGGCATTTGGCAGCCATTTATTATACTGACTGTATTTATGGTAGTGGAGT